AATAGGCACCTTGGGTGCAATCCCAAAACATCTGGAGCACCACTTGAACACCATCGGCATTAAAAAAATCACCATCAGTCAATTGTAAAAGGCAGCTTTACTTGGAACAGCTTATATCCCGCAACGATACCTTTAATACCATCCAACATCTGCCTATCCCACGTCCTTGGGAAGGACTTGATAGGTGAATAAAAATGCCATATGTAGTCTAAACATCTGGCTGACTGTATGACCAATAATAATAATAATTTCACTGTATTAGAGAAAACCCCAGATAGTAACAGCTTTCTAGTCAACTTTGCAATGATTAAGATTGCTGGTTCCCATCTGACCTTGACCTTCCCAATCATATGGGGTTCATGCCTTGGATAGCAGTTGACAACCATGTCATGCAAAAACATATCTGTATAATTTCTCCAGTGACAGAAGGGACATTACCACACATCCCTCTGTTTGAACAAAAGTAGAATAACTTAGGAAATCGCCCTATACACATTAGCTGGATACATCATACAAGGCCACAGTGGGAAGAACCACTCATATAGGAAGAATTGCTCCAGACCGCATCCTGGAACTTATGGCTTGGGTTCAGGATATGATAAAAATGCCACAATGAAATAGTCCATCTCTTCAGAACTAATATGCAGCTTCTCCATTCCAACAGCAACCAACACATACAAGCTCCATGTTTAAAGTAAAATCCATCTCCTCCTCCAACTACCTGTATCCTTTTTATACTTGCTAGAATATGAGCTAGAGCAGTGTTTCTCAGCCTCAACTTTAAGATGCGTGGACTTCAACACCCAGAATTCCCCCAGACAGCATGGCTGGGGGAATTCTGGGAGTTTAAAATGTATGGACTTCAAATTGCTGAGGTTGAGAAACACTGAGCTAGAGTAGAAAAGCATAAGCAGCAGTCATCATTAGTATTCACAGCGTCCAGCAAATATCCTAGTCTTCACAACCCGCAGAGATGATCTGAAGTTTTCCCAAGTCGTTGCAGAGTATAACTATGTTGCTTCAAGACCATTTACACATTTATAATCTTCTTCTATAATGCTCAAAAACTAGCTAACCTGTTCCTGGCATTTTCTGGACTCAGTTGCTACGTTGTATCATCTATTTCTCAGAGAATACACAGCTCTTAAACAGTATCATTCAGTTATGCAAACAGAAGAAGCATTTTAGTGGTATGATTCTGTGAGATACAAGCAAATAAGGCAAAGCAAAGAGAGTTTCACCAATTTCTGAGAAAAAGGGGCAGAGCCCACCATGAAGTCGTGGTCCAGTTTTTCTAAAAAGGCATTCTGGTAAGGAACAGAAACTATTGCTATTCAGACACCCGTGAAAATCCTGACAAGTTCCTCTCATTTGTAAATCTCAGAAGTGAAAGCATTTTTTTAAAAATGTAAGAACTATAGTTCTAAACCAAGATGCTTTTTTTTTCCTTCCCCAGGAAAAGAAGATCATTTTTCTCTATGCAGATTTAAGCCTCCATTTCACACAATCTTGGCTATTAAAGTTTTAGAAGACCTGCTACTTAGGTCAAAACTAGAACTTACCTGATACAAAATTAACAAAACTGTAATCAGTTAAATTTGAAACGTTAATGGATTACAAAGAAGGCTGTTTATCTTCAATAACCATTTCTCAAAAGCTTGTTCTAAGTATCATCCCTTCTTTTACCAAGAAACCTACACCTGATTACTCTTATAAATCCAGTTCATACATTGTGGTATCTTTCTTAATTTTTCAATTAAGCTTGTTTGGAAGACTGGAAAGTTCTGGCCACCTGAAGCTGTTTAGAGAGAAAAGTGATTACAAACTCTCATTGATCTGTCCCAGGTGAATCTGCATAACCCATCTGCTGCTTCCTCCTTCTCCCCCCACCTTGATTGATTATGCCATCAAGTTGTCAACTCAGCCACCAAGTAGATTTTCTCCTGGTCTTTCAGGTCTTACTCTTCCTTTGATAACTATTAATAGATACCAAATGATTGCTATTAAAATGTTTATAAAGGACATCTGTGCCACCTAGTGGTTCTTACTATGAATGTCTTATCTTGGGGGGAAAAGATTAAATTCCTAAAACAAATGCTCTTTCATGCTTTCATAGGATACCAATTTCTTATGATCATTTGCTAGATATATTGGTTGGGGAAATATATACAGTTTGCATCCAATACTAGAATATATTTTCCAAGTGAAACCAGTTGCCAATGGAAAATCTCTGCTCTAACAACTTTCCAAATATAAACTGATTTTCTTTAATTACAAAACACTGCAGCAGTTAGGGATTAGATTTACATGATAGAATGAAAAAGAATATTGATCTTACTACTTTAAAAAAGAAAATGCTTTTTATTGATAGATCATTCTGTATTCAAAAGTTTTAAGTTTAATCTATCACAGGCAATAATGTCTTTTTAATTGTGATGTCTTGACCTTAAGGTAATATTGGCTGGATTCACACATTGTGGTAACTTAGATTTTTAAAATGAAGGTTACTTGAACTCAATTGGTTCAATCTGTACTTAAGACTTAGCCATAATGGATAGATTCCCATCCCCATTCTAGGCCAAAACCAAACAACCACACTGGGGCTCAGACAGAGTTATCTATTCAGGAACTTTATTATTTTTTTAGATGGTGGAAATCCAACCACATGACCTAATTAATTCTGGAGGATCAGAAATGTTGAAGCACGCATTCTCAGAAAACATATTAAATGGTCTCCTAGAAAGTAAAGAGAACTTATTTTTCTTTTACATGCTGGTGTCAAATGATCAAGATAATAAAAGAGACACTGAAGGGTGTATTACATTAACATGTAGAACACACAATGCAAAATTCTATCAAGGTGGGCACAGCCAACACCATTCAGACTTTTTAAACCGGATAACAGTGGCTTATGAGCTATTAAGGAACTGCTGTGGGTCATTTCCATGACAAGCATCCCCTCCACCCTCA